CTTCGTTCTTCTTCGTTCTTCTTCTACCTTCTTCCTGTCTCTTATACACATCTAGATGTGTATAAGAGACAGGAGAGAGAGAGAGAGAGAGAGAGAGAGAGAGAGGGGGGAGGGTAAAGGGGTGGGGAGGTGTTTTGGGTTTTTTTTTTTAATTCTATTCTTCTTTTTTTTTTTTTTTTAAATGGTCCGATGGACCACGGATCAGATATTAAATTGATCAGAGCAGATACTACACTTTATCTTAGCCAAAAGGCCGAGAAAGGTATAATACTATTATTCTGAATGCACCCGTGAAATCCATCGTCGTGTAATTTAATTGCGTGTGAAGTGGGGACATGAGCGAGGCCCTGCTGGGAGTTGCACTACTGTGGCCATCGTCTAAGATTTTGACTGCACGTGGACAGTTGGTCGTCCAGATGCATCGAAAAAGTTGGCCGATGGCGAGTGGTGCAACTACGGTAGGCGCTGAAACACAATTTCTTTTTTTTCCTTCTATTTACAAAAATGTAAAAGGGCGACGGCCTTGAGATATTATCACTGAGCTGACCAGCCCCAAGCAACTCATTAGTAGTTCAACTTGGTTTTACTCTTCAAGTTCCATCATCTGGATTCGAACACAGCACCTGGTCTGTATTTCAACAAATCATGGGTGTACCCACCGAGCTAGGCTCTTGGGTTTGAAACACAATTCGCTGCGATCCTTCTTGGTTTTATCACATGACGAGTGGTGCCTCACATCCCTTCCGTATGTGAGAGGCGGGCCTCACCAAGACTTGTTTTTTTTATATATTATATTTATTTATTTATTTATTTATTTTTAATCCCCAAGACTTGTTACGGCCGCCAAAGCGTATCTGACCCATAGAAAAAAAAAAAAAAAAAAAAGGAGAGGAGAGCAGAGGGTAAAACGGTAAATGGAGGAGGAGAGGAGAGTACACTGTGGGAAAACAACCCACCCACGGGCTTTTTTTGGGGGGGGGGCTAAGATCAAGTGTAGTATCTGTTCCGATGAGTTTATAACATCTGATCCGTCGGCCATCGGGCCACATGAAGGGGGAAAAAAAAAACAAACAATACCCTGCGTCCGATCAAACGATCTGACATAAATCCATCTTTAAAGACGAAGACGACAAGTGTTGATTGTCGTTGCGGTCTTTTTTTTTTTTTTTTTTTTTTTTTTAATTTGGACCATTTCTCGATTAATGCGGGTCATCCTTGCGCAGGGGCCATGCTAATCTTCCCCTTCTCTGTATCGTTCCAATTTTAACGGATGTCCGGAAGGATTTTTTTTTTTTTTTTTTTTTTTTTTTGTTGTTGTTGGTGTCCGCTTGCTTTCCTTTTCCCCCGGTTCATCATACGACCTTCTTCACCCGAATACAATGTACGGTCATTATCAGTGTATCTAGACTGCAAGTTCCAATAAATACGGTTGAAATGACTGGGCGCTTTCAATTGTTGTTCGTGAATTGTTGTTCGTGTGAAGACGGTAGTATCTGCCTGCATGCCTATACAGTGCGCGTGATTCCCGCTGCCATCCTATCCACTCAACTTTTTTGTTTTTTTCGCGCGTCCCTTTCCCACCTTCCCGCCTTTTTCCACAGCCACCACCTTGCGCGTCCCTTCTGCGTCCCTTCCGCGCCCCTTCCCTCCTTCCCGTCGGATAATTTATGGAAACGGGAGTTCGTACTCTCTCTCTCTCTCTCTCCCCTCTCTCACACACACTCTGTCTGTCTTTTGTCCCCCTCGGTTGTTTTTTGCTGTAATGTCTGTTTTCCCAATGCGCAGAGCGCGTGTCTTTGTTTGGCGCCAAATCGTGCTGCTGGCGGGAATTGGTTGAAGGATTGATTGATGGATGGATGGATGGACTGATTGATTGATCGATTGATTGTGATTGATTGATCGATTGATTGATTGATCGGTTGATCGATTGATTGCTTGATTGCTTGATTGCTTGATTGATCGATTGATTGATTGGTTGGTTGATTGATTAGTTGATTGATTGGTTGATTGATTGATTGATTGATTGGTTGATTGATTGATTGATTGGTCGATTGGTTGATTGATTGTGTTGATTGATTGTGTTGAATCGTATGGCAGGGAAGTTCGGTTGGAGGGAGTGCAGGACAAGCGGATGGAGGGAGGATCGGGAGGGATATCTGCAAAGCAGCGGGGAATTGGTCGTAAGATTTGTCGTTCTAGTACTACTTTTAAGTCATGTCGTTTTCTTCGGTTAGACAAAGTCGGAGTTGTGTTTTTGCCTCAGCGTAGCAGAGTGCTGCTTTGTTTCGTTTCGTCTCATCTCGTTTCGTCAGCGAAAAAGGGGAAAAAATATTATTGTTGCTGTCGACTATTATATTTTTCGTAATGAAAAGATCATTCATTCCACGACAGAGCAGTCCGCTGCAACGATCATCCATCATTTCCAGAAGGGAGCGCGAGTTCACACATCTCTCACTTGCCGACCTTGATGAAATTCAAATCACAGAAAATCGCGGCCCACAGAAGAAGATCGCCTCCCAATCGATTCATTAAGACTACTATTCTTCGCTGTCATATCCTATGAATTGCGTGTGGTGAAGAGCAATCAATCGGCCATTGCTTGTCTTTCTCCTTCTCCTTGTCCTTCTCCTTCTCCTCCCTCCTTACCTATCAATCAACTTTTCTCCCTCCTCTTAGGTATCATAACTCTCTCCTTCTCCGTCTTCTTCTTCTTCTTCTTCTTCTTCTTCTTCTTCATCCACGCCTTCCTGCGTCTCCTTCGCGATACTCGGATCTTCTTGATCTTCTCCTTCCTCCTCCTTCTCTTTTCTTCTTCTTCTTCTCCTCCTCTTTTTGTCCTCCTCCTTTTTCTTCTTCGTTCTTCTTCGTTCTTCTTCGTTCTTCTTCTACCTTCTTCGCTATCGTCTTTTCTTCTTCTTCTTCTTCTTCCTCCTCCTCTCCTCTTTTTGTCCTCTCCTTCTTTTTCTTCTTCGTTCTTCTACCTTCTTCGTTATCGTCTTCTTCTTCTTCTTTTTCTTCTTCTTCTTCTTCTCCTTCTTGGTCTTCTTGGTCTTCGTGGCCAGAGGCCTCAGATCTCGGGCGCAGGTTGGTTCTCCTGTCTGGGGTTTTGCCCCACCGGCAAGATGTACGGCTATTTTCGCAAATCGTACGACGATGTGGAGGGCGGTTATCAAGGCAGCGAGCCGCTGCTGTACTCTGGACTTGAGTACGAGGACACGTACATGCGATGGGGTTTCATCCGCAAAGTGTACGGCATCGTCTTGTCCCAAGCTGTGCTGACAATTCTCGCCTCTCTGGTGGTCTTGTTCATCTCTCCCGTCCGGGACTTCGTCGTTTCCAATCCTGCCATTGTTCTCCTGACCGTGCTTTTGCAGCTCGGGGTGCTCTGCTTCCTCTACTGTTATCGCCATAGCCATCCCGCGAACATCATCCTTTTAGGGCTATGGACGATCACCTTCAGCGTCACGATAGGTGCCACGTGTGCTTTCGTTCCCGGATTGGTTCTGCTGGAAGCGCTGCTGCTCGTAGCAGCCGTCGTTGTCTCTCTCACGGGCTATACCTTCTGGGCTTGTCGAAAAGGCTATGGCTTTTCCTATCTGGGGCCTATGCTATTTTCGGCATTGATCGTCCTCTTCATCTGGAGCCTGATCCAGATCGTCATCGTCCCGGGGCCAGTCGGGAAATTCGTGTATGCACTCGTGGGATCGCTCTTGTTCTCTCTCTACATCGTATACGACACCGACAATTTGATAAATGGGTATGATTATGATGAGTACGTGTGGGCGTCGGTGGCGTTGTACCTGGACATCGCCAATCTGTTCGTGCTTCTGCTCGACGCTGTGAGGTATCTGCAAGGAAGCGACTGAGTGAATCTGGTCGGAATCGCAGGCAGATACGTGCGCCGAAACCACCTCAGTTTTTCTTCGTCTTTTGCTTGCCTTGTTGTACCTGGACATCGACAGGACTCTGTTCGTGCTTCTGCTCGACGCTGTCAAGTAATCTGAAAGGAAGCGACTGAGTGAATCTGGTCGGAATTGTGGACAGATACATGCGCCGAAACCACCTCGGTTTTTCTTCGTCTTTTGCTTGCCTTGTTGTACCTGGACATCGCCAGGACTCTGTTTGTGCTTCTGGTCGACGCTGTCAGGTATCTGCAAGGAA